ATCGACGATGAATCGTGCCTGTGTGTTTTTTCCCCTCCCGAGGGAAGCGGGGGTCGGGTTCGGATTTCGCCACGTGCTCGACGAGTCCCGAACTCCACCCCCACCGCCCGTCGAGCTGCCTGGATCGAGGACCGGCGAGGGCAGGGCTCGGACTTCGCCGCCGAGAACATGCACGTCCATATGAATGTTGTCTTCTTCCATGCTCCTGCGTCTTCGGGAGCGGCCAAGAGGGGGGTGTCCAAGAGGGGGGGGTGCAAATCATGACCCGCGGCATGTGCGCGGCCCAGCGGGGGGGCCAGGGACGTAATGAAATAAGAAGAGACACCATGAAATCTGGGGAAACATCATGGCCCGCGCCATGATATCCACCCCCCCCTAGTCATCACCCCCCTCTTTTCCGCCCCCGACGTCTCCGAGGCGCGCAGCGCCACGGACATCGACCGGGCGGAACGCGCCCCCGGCACAAAGGCGAGGCTGGACACGGTGCGGAGCGCCGCCACGGCGCCGCAGATCGCCAGGGCCGCCGGCAGCATCGCCGCGGTGGAACGCTGGGCCACCGTGTTGCCCCTCGCGCGCCTCGTAGTGGGCGAGGCCCGAAAAGGTCGGATGCCGTGGGGATGCTAAAGATCTCGAGCCAAAATGGCTGGAGCAAGAGTGGGTGAAGAGGATGGCGAGGAAGAAAACAGCCACGAGCCGACGTGCAAGCGGAAACCCATTACCGCCATGCGTACTCCGCTTTCTCGCCCAACCCAGCTTCTGCGGCCCATCAGGCGACATTCGGGGATTGCCAGAGGTGTCCCTAGCTCAAGGCGCTACCAGTTTTCGCTCAAGAAGGCATGTGGGCCTCCCTGGAAATCCTAAGGACACCACGGGCCGGGGACACCTCTGTCAGCCTCCACAGCATCTGTCGCTGCCGCCCGCGACTCCTGGCCTTCCCCCTGACCTTCGTAGGTGGGAAGCTCAGCCTCGTCCGCTCGAGGTGCTCTATCCCGTCTCCTCCTCTCCGCCCTCCGCCCCGCGGCCTCCCCCTCTCCGCACCTCCCCCGCTCGGATACGCGTGAGAGTGGCCCAAGGCAAGAGCGACCTGTGTATAGAGGCCTCCCAGATGGGCTTGGAGTAGATGGGGCTGGAGGATCGCGCCGCATCGCCGATGCACCGCTGATGAATTGGCGATGCACCGGCGACGTCTGCCATGCATCGGCGCCGTCGGCGTGGAGAAAATCGGGCTCCACATCGAGCCGCATCGCAGATGCATCGGCGATGCGGAGCGATCTTTCGACACCATCTACTCGGACCCCATCTGGGAGGCCTAGAATTTGGTACGCGGCTTTAGGGGGCCGCGTGGGGGCCAAATCCAAGCGTGCAAGCCAACGCTGGGGTGGCCCCGATGGGCCGGCACGAAAAGCCACTCTGGCGAAAGGCCACTCTCATGCGCAGCCGACCCGCTCCTCCTCGTCCTAGCATGGGGGAAACGGGTCCTGAGGGAAACGGGTCATCGGGTCATGGACCCTGGGGCCTTCCCCCAGGATCGGCTCCTCGTCCTGCGTCCTGCTTGCCCAACCCTGGGAAGCCGACCACGGCGAAAAACCTCAGGACCCGCTGCCGTCGGGACCCGCCTCCCCCATGGCGAGCATCGCCCGGCGCGCGCCTCCGACCACGAGAAGGCCGCGGGCATCGCCCGCCGCGCCCCCGACGGGGAGGCCGCCGCGGGGGAGTCCCGGAGGGGGGGGCGCTGACGGCCTCCCGCACGCCGGCCTGCCGTGCCTGAGATCGGCCGAGGCGCGCGCCAGGGCGCGCAGGGGGCGGTGCTGCCGGGAGGGGGGGGAGGAGGGAGGGAGGCGAGGGAGGCGAGGAGGAGGCGAAGAGGAGGGAGAAAGGAGGAGGAGGAGGGGGAGGAGGAGGAGGAGGAGGAGGAGGAGGAGGAGGAAGGAGGAGGACGAGAGGAGGAGGAGGACGGAGGAGGAGGAGGAGGAGGAGGAGGAGGAAGGGGAGGAGGGGGAGGGGGACGTGCCGCAGTCGCAGGCGTCCGATGCGCGCGCGCACCGGCCCGCGGGCGGCGGGTCAAACGAGCGCGCGCAGGGGGGGAAGGGAGGGAGGGAGGCGAGGCGGAGGTGCTCATCATTCCGAGACGCTCTCGGGCCCCAAATCATTCCATGTCTAGCCCAACCGAATACTTCTGAGTCAAATCCCTGAGCATTGATTTGCTTGAGATCAGGTGGAGTTGGAGTTGGGCTGGTTGTTCCAGTCCTCTGCAGAAGTCGCACAGGCTTGAGCCGTCGCCAAGAAAAAGTTTCTAGAGGATTGGAGGGAGGGAGGCGAGGAGGAGGCGCCCCTCGCTTCCACGCACAACTAATGGTATACAACCTGTGCTTAGCGTGTCGCGGCGGCGGCCCCGGCGACACGCGCGGACAGTGTGTCGCTCCGCTTCACGGGGCGGGAGGCTCGGAAAAGCTCGGAACGTTGACGCCCAGGGACCGGGAAGTGGAGAGCGTGTCGCGGGGGGGCCAGAACCAGCGGCGCGACACGCCATCCAAAAGTGCCCGACTGCACCTTCCCGAACCACCCGAGTCCCAGGAGGGACACTGCGCATCGTTGGGAGACCCAGCACACGGGCACTTTGTCCGCACCAGGAGCGCGGCACACCAGCAGCCCAAGAACCATCTCCTGAGCACAAAACTTTCGGAGGTCCGCGCGGACCTCCGGAAGTTTACGGTCGTCGCACTGCCAGAGGAACCGCTCCATAATGAAGGGGCCCTGGGACACGCGAAGAAATACACACACAAATAAGAGGACTCCCCACATTCTCCCACATTGTTTTGGGTCTGTTCGCCTTCCCCCCCACTTCCCACATTCTCCCATACTCTCCTGGGGGTCGACGACTCACTGTGTGTGTGTCTGTGTGCTTTTCCCCTCCCGGAATAATGACGTCACATTGTTTTGGGTTTGTTCGTCTTCCCCCCCACTCCCCACATTCTCCCATACCCTCCTGGGGGTCGACGACTCACTGTGTGTGTCTGTGTGCTTTTCCCCCTCCCGAACTAATCACGTCACGACGGGGCCCGCTGGCCATATGGCGCAGCCGCGGCCACGGACGGGCTCTCACATCCGACCAGGGCGACGGGGAGCGGCCCGAGAAGACCAGCGCCCCGCCTCGGCCGAGAGGGGTCCCTGCATCAGCGCATCGACGGTGTTGGGCGCCCGAGCTATCCGGGGTAACTCGGGCCCGGGGTAACTCGGGTTCGGATGCCCGAAAAAGGAACCCGAGTTAGCCCTGACGAGTTGCCCCTGATGATTCGGGGCTCTGGACGCCCGAGCTATCCGGGGTAACTCGAGCCTGGGGTAACTCGGGTTCGGATGCCCGAAAAAGGAACCCGAGTTAGCCCTGACCCGAGTTACCCCTGATGATTCGGGGCTCTGACTGTGTGCTTACAGGGCAGTTTCTAATACACAGGATTGTTCTTTACATAGGATTCGTAATACGTGGTTAATATACGAATAAATGCATGCATGAACGCATCGTTGTTTTCAATACTAAACCCCTGCATGCATGTAATGCATGATCCGCACGCGGAGCATGTGTCAAAACCGGCGCTGTATCGACTGTGTGCTTAAGATAAGGGGGCCAAAAAGTTGCATCAACGTACAACTCGGAGGGAGGCGGGAACGGGGAGGGATATGAGTAGGGATATGTTCGATGGCTCAGCACGACTCATAGGGGGCCAAAAAAGTGGCATAAACATAAAACTCGGAGGTCCGCGCGGATTTCTCGGATCGGCGCTGGGGCCCCCCGGCGGCGCCTCCGGCGCCGCCCCTGGCGCGCTCCGCGCGCCAGGGAGGGGGGTCCAGCGCCGATCCGAGAAACCCGCGCGGACCTCCGAGTTGTTTATGTTTATGCCACTTGCTGTTCCTCTATAAGAGGTGCAGAGGCTCGGAGCGCGCCCTGAGGGGCAACGATAGGGGGGGGGGGAATCGTCGACCTCGGGTCGGCGATGCATCGCCGACAGATCGGCGATGGGCACCCGACGGTGAATCCGCATTGGTCCGGGGCAGGCTGGGGCCATCGGGCCCCCATCGGCGATCCATGGGCCGTCGGGGGCCGGTGCCCCGCCCCGTGTGCCGATCCCCCCCCGACTGCCCACCAGGCCACCCCGACCCAGCCCGCAGCGACCGCTGTGCCTGCCAATCTCCAGCGGGGGACGTTGTGGAACACCGAGAGAACACAGTTCGGGTCGGGCGAAAGGGGGGGATAGCAAAGGGGGGGTTTGAGAATCAGCTCACGTAGCTGATTTTCCCGGCGCCTCCCGGCGCCGGAGGCGGCTATGTGTCGAGGAATGGGCCCCTCGGTGAGGCCGAAACCAGCTGCATGCAGCAAATTTCGTAACCCCCCTTTCCCCAATCCCCCCCTTTCGCCCGACCCGAACAGTGGACCCCCTCCAGGAAGCCCGACGGGGCCAAACTCACTGATGCTCCCGAGGTGCTTGAATGCCTTGGGCGTGTGCACACGTTCGGCTTCCCAACGGTCTAAAACGGCCCCAGAGCTCACCAAGGCAGCCCCAAGAGCGCCCAAGAGGGCTCCGAGATGGCCCCCCGACGGCCCAGGAGGCCCCCAAGACGGCACCCAGAGGGCCCCGAGACGGCCCTGGCGACGGCCAAGACGCCCAAGGTGGCCTCCAAGACGGCCCTGAAGCGCCCAAGACGGCTTCCGGCGAAGTTAGACTTGCCAGAGACGCCCTCAGATACGGTAACCAAAGAGCCTCCAAAGGAGTCCCCACAGGCCCCAAAAGGCTCAAGGAACCCCCAAGAGGCCTCTCAGAGGCCCTCAGGAAGCTCCCTCGAGGCCCCAAGAGTGCCCCAAGAGGCTCCTAAGAGACATCTTCCTCCTCCTCCTCCTCCTCCTCCTCCTCCTGCTCCCTCCCTCCCTCCCTCCCTCCCTCTCCTCCTCCTTCTCCTCCTCCTCCTCCTCCTCCTCATCCTCCTTATCCTCCTCCTCATCCTCCTCC